TTATCAAATAAAATTTTATTTAAATATTTTAAAATTTAAAAAATATAGATCATAAGCATATTTTTAACAATTTTCCAAGCAAATTTGCCTGGAAAAGCTTACAGATTAAGGGATAATACTAAACAAATTTAAAAGTTACACTAATTTATCTACTATAATTTAAAAGTACTAATTTAATAATAAAACAAACAAATACTAAACATACTAAACATGCTTAAAAAGAATATAAATAGTATAAAAATTATACTAATTATAAACAAAACATGTAATTATATATATTCTATATATGTTTATATTTAATATATTATAATACTTTTTTATATTAAAAAAAAACTTAAAACTTTTTAATTAAATATAATTTATTTTACTAATTACTAAATTATCTTAATTTATAAGACAAAATATATTTCATTACTAATTTCTAAATTATTTAATCTTTTCTTAAATTATATTATAAAATGTAAAGTATAGTCTTAGAATTTTTATATTTCATATTCTTTAACAATTTGTTTTATAGTAAGGTTATTCAAAGTTAATTATTAGATTAATGTTATTCTTTTCTCTTGGTTAACTGTTACTCTAAGAATTAAACAAACCAATTACAGTACAAAATAAGCTTTATTAATTATATAATTAAGATTGACTAATAAATTTGATCAAATATTTTTGAAAAAATATATATTTATTCCAATTTTTTTTTTCTATTTTTAAGTCCAAAATATTAATATTAATCTAATAATATTAACAATTTGGTTAAAGTTAACTGTTATATGCAATGAATATGTAATTATATATTTAATAATTAACTAATCAAAGTTGATGCATACTATATTGTAATTAGCTAGTAATAGGTTTAAGCATATATTCTTAAATAGCATGCCAAATTTTTTATCTGTGCCCTAAACTCTATATATAAGATTAGTTTAGTAAGAATATAAAAATAGTTTAAAAAATTTACTGTTAAGGCAGCTAGAAAAAAACATTAAATTAGAATGTATAGAATATAAGTTTTATATGAATAAGTTATTAGTAAGAAAGAAAAAAGAATGTAAAATAAATGCAAGTTGAATGCAGTTCAGTAAAGATAAAAATAAAGTTATAATAGAAAAAAAATTAGATTAGAAAATAACTATTATTAATAAAAATAGAATTAGTTGTAATGTTGATAATAGTCTTAGTTGTAGCTTATAATAGTAATATAATTATTAAATTAAATAATATTATAGTAATTGCAAGCCTAAAAAAAAAAGTCTTTGTATAATATTAGAGTATGAAACAAAAACAAAAACTTTAAATTAGTAACAAAGATCAAAAATATATGCAAATTGAAAAATATTAAGTTGATATTAATTAAGATTAAAACATATAATAGAATAGTATAAAATAAAAAAACTGATAAACTTGTAAAAAAAGATATATTACTTAATAAATACTCAGATTTGAAGCTAGAGATAAATTGTCAGTTTTTATATACATTATATTAGAAAGAATTAGTTGTAAAAATACTTGTAAAAAAATTTGTTAAGATATTAATAAATATAATAAATAGTGCTAAATAGTGATACTCAAATTGAATTATAAAATACAAAAAGATTGGAAAATATTGTAAAAAAAAAAACAGAAGTTTAATAGGTATTAGATATAAATTATTAGGAGAGAATAAAAAAATTTTATTTAGAATTAAGTATATAAACAATAGTTTACTAGTTCTTGATATACTAAAGAAAAGAACACCAAACTTATATAAATTAAATAAATATAAAGAATATTATATAAATTAAAAGACATCAGTTTATCTGTTTAGATATAAAAAGTATAATAATTATTGAAATAATATTAAAAAATTAGTATGTTAGTTAATATAAAAGAAACTTGATAAATCAAATAGAAATAAGATAACAAGACTTGATTTAAATAAAATATTAGTTAGTAAAACTAAAACAAATATAATTAGACATCAAGAGTTATGCATATTAGGCCTATCAATAGAGAATATGTTTAAAGAATTATATGCAAATCAAGTTTATAAAGAGGTGCAAAACATAATATAAGACTATACATCAAGATTGTGAAAAGATGTTTAGAGAAGAATTATAATAGAAAAAATGTAAAACAGTAATCAAAATAGGAGAATAAAAATAAAATAATATTAAAAACAAAGTAAAATAAAATCAAGAAAACTGAAAATAAAGATTATAATTCAAAGAAAATTAAAAACAGAAAAGAGAATAAAGAATATATATCAAGTAAGATCAAAGCAGTTAAAAACAATAAGAAAGAAGCAGAATGTGCAATAAAGATATTGATGAATTAGTATAGAATAAAATTAATTCATTCTGGTTCAGTTCTTAATAGAACTAACAAAGTTTCCCAATTTAGGCATAGATTAATGTGACAAGTTGCATTTGGATGCAGTTTCTGTGCTGAGCTTGCAATCTCAAAAGGTGAATTACTAAAAATAGATAATATTTCAATTAATACAATTTTGTATTTGAGCTCTGACAAGACTGTCAAAGAATAAAAAAAAAATATTCAATAACTACTAAACAATATATTTTTTGCATTTATTTTTATTTTTTAATAAATAAATGTTTTTATTTTATTAATCTTGAAAAACAGTAATTTTATTTTTAAAAGCATATTTATTTTTATAAAATTTATGTTTTTAAATAATTTAATTAAATGAAATTCAAATTTATTCTCTTATTGTAAAGACTAAACAATCATGTTGGAGATAATTTGTGCATTAATACCAATTAAAATAAATTCAACTATTTCTGAACATAATGTATAGATAAAGTGGATAAGGTAGATACTAATGAATCTGAAACTTTGTTAAACATTCTAGAAAATTATAAAGAATCTCTTTCACGAGAAATAAAATAAATTCTTAATCTTTATTCACATAAAAGTTATTGATAAACATAAATATTTTAAAACATCTTTTGATCTTCTGCAATAAAAAATGATTAATGTTAAAAATATTAATTAAAAACTTCATATTGGTTCAAAAAGTGTGAAGAGTCTCCTATGAAAATGAAATGACCGAAATAAAAATACATTTTGTTGCTAAATAAAAACGAGTATCAGGAAATAAATGTCAATTATTTCTATAAATAATAAGAGCTTCAATCATTTAATAGAGTAGAAAATTAGTAACTGTATTTTTTTTTGATAAACTTTTTATGCTTTACTTAAATACCGATTACGTAACTGATCCTGGTGGTTATGCTAGGGTCGTTGATGTGCTTAGTTCGTTTTGTTGTCAGATTCTGGATTCTTAGTTATGATTTAAAATTTATGTTATCAAACACTAAAAGGTTGTATCCTTTAAATCAGTTTGCATGAAAATTTTCCTGCACGAAATGATTTATATTCGCTCTATCAAATTATATTGAATTGTATTGTAGCCTATAAATTGTATTGTAGCCTATATTGAGCATATTTCAAGTTTCACGATGATGATAGACGGTTAGGTAATTTAAGTAGTTAAAATTTGTAAATAGAAGCCCTAATAAAATTCACTCGATAAGTTTATTAACAACTCTAACCTAATCCAATTCCAGCTGTGTTAAGCATAAAATTTAGGTATGAGGCTATTTGATCTATAACATTTTTTAAACTTTCTAAGGATGTTACATAAACCTATGTCCCTCCCATCTCTGTATCTTCTTCTATTCCTCGAATGTACAAAACGTTATTACATCTATGAAACAAATTAGATATTATTTAGACATTTGGCAAATATAAGTCAAAAAATAAAGTCAATGATAATATGAACCTAATCAATACTTCTCCAAGGGCTCCCGTTGAATTTCCATCTACAAATTCTTCCGTATTGGCGAGCTATGATGACAATTATATATAGTATAGTAATGTTATTTCTAAATATACAATAAACAATTATGATTTTCCTTATTTCACAAATTAACTTCAAGATATTAATTATGATACCTGTAAATTCATATATGAGTCTACAGAAACTAAATATCCTTTATATTCCATGCCCCATTTTAAGCGGACAATTACTGGCTTTCCGGTCATTTCTTGAAGGAATGGTTTTGGATTTACCGGTTGAAACTATATAAATATCCAATATTCAAAATTAAAAGTTATAATAAAGTCGATAAATTTATATAATCATTTTCAAAGAATGAAAAAAAAACTTTTACCGCCATTATTTTTCAAAGGGGAAAGGAAATCTGAAATTCCTACCATATTGTAAGTTTGTGTGATCATTATATCGGCCAATCATTGCACCAACTAAATCGTCGATCGTGATCGACAAAACTTAGCACAGAATTCTTTGATATTTAGAAATGAACACGCGCGCAAGAACCGCTGGTCTTATAAAAGAATTTTTCTCTTCCACTAATTATGCTGTCGTAGGTGCTTCGACAGATTCCTCAAAATATGGTAATAAGGTATTAAAATGGTTTGTAGTTTAATATACTTAAACATTCCAACTTTTCATAATGTATTTTTGACTATGTTCGTTTATTAGGTATATTAATAATAACTATTCAGTAACACCCGTAAATCCGGTAATTGTTGTTCTTTTTCCAGATGTTATTTATTTATTTCGTTATTACTAAATTATTACCCTTTTACAAGAAGGAAACAGAGATTGAGGGATTAAGTTGTGTTCTGGATTTATCTTCGTTACCAAATTTTGATCCTAATAATACGTCTGTTTCGATAATAACGCAGCCAAATGTGTCAAAGGATATATTGAAAGAGGCAACGAAAGTATTTATTATTTATTATTTATTCTATTCTTCATAACGCAATTAATATTCTAATTGAAAAAACAATTTTAGTTGGGGATTAGTCGTATATGGCTTCAACCAGGAGCTGAAAACATTGAATGTCTAGAATATGCTAATAAAGTTGGATTACAAATAATTAGTGGTGGCCCTTGTGTTTTGGTTAATGGGATTAAACTTTAGCAAGTTCATATACGTTTTTTCTTTTTTATATTTATCTCTGTTTTATAATCATAAATAATCTCGTCTGGACGAATTTTAAAATTTTGTAAATGTGTTACAATAAAAGTTTTTGTGATGTTAAAACATGTGCTGCGGAAATTGACAAAAACAAAAACCGAGGAATTTATATTGTTTTAGAGGATCCCTTACGCTATGTTAACGATATCAAAAATTACGGATATCATTGTCGTTGTACAAGAAAAGATTGGGTGCGGAAAAATCGTGACATAAAATAGCGCGAAATTACGTACGTATCGGATATGTCCCTAAATTCGATTCTGAAAGACATGGAAAATGCGCGATATAATACCATCTTTAGCTTGGTGTCAATCATGTGACCCTCAGTAACATCACAAGGGTGAATAAAAATATCGATAATTACATTAAAGAACTTCAACTTAAAGCTATATCTCATTATAGTGTAGTCTAATGGATTCCTTGCAACTTAGTTAGATGGAATACAAGAAGTAGATCCTACATTTGAATTTAGTCAGTTCAGTCACGAATACTATCATATAAGGTGATCAAACCTTAACTAGATCACAGATTTTATTAGATATGTTGAAAGAAATAAGCTAACATCTTTAATTTATTATTATCGTACAATAAATAGCTTTAATTTTATTACATGTTTAATAAGTTTATAGATTATATACTGTTAAAAAATGGTGACCTTAAAGTATGTGAACTAATTCGAAACACAATCACAAATGAATAGATGTTGGTATTTGATGATTTTGGTTCTAAAAGCAATTATGGAAATGTGCAAATTGCAAGCGATATAACACATCTTTAGATCGATTTCAACTATGTGACACGGAAAATAACTCGAGAATGGACGAGTTAAATAAGAATGTTGACAATTGCATTAAAGATTTCAACTTAAAGCTACAACATAAGAAGATGTAATCAAATGGATTTCTTTAATAGATTAGATAACTTTCAAAATATTAGTGATAAATTTTTTGCAAGTTGGTTAGATAGAATACGATATTTAGAATTCTATATATGCATACTATACACAGTCGCGTATGCCATTATACAAAGTGCACAAAATTTATTAGATATATTAAGAGAAGATTATAACTAATTTTCACCTGTGGTGATATCACCCACTATTATAACATTTTTATTAAAATTAAATTTAAGGTTAAAGGTTAGGATTAGAGACAGGTTAGGCTAGAAGAGCCTATATACATGTAAAATTTGGCGCTGAAAACTTTTGCTTAGTAGTCGAAGCATAGTTTTCATAATAAAATTTGAGTTATAAAAGCTTTAGGGCTCTGCAAATGCCCATGCCGGGCAGATTGGCACTATGCCAGGCACTAGTGCCTCATGCCATGCCCATACCTA